ACCCGTAATAGACTAACTAGAGAGAGAGTAATTGAAATTATAGGTAGAGATAACTTTAGTGAAACGGGGGCAACCATTCACGAGATGGAGGCTGTATTTAAACAGTTTAAAATTCCATGCAGAATTTATGATTGTTGCAATAAATTAATTTATAAATGCGACCCCGATGAATATAAATAGTAGGCACATCAAACCATTTTATGCAATGGTCAAAAACAGTCATATTTACGCAATGAATCACGACTTAAAAAGCATTCAACAGAAACAATTAATAACCAAGATACCAACTGTCAAAGCTTCAACCGACTACTATATTAATGAAAGAGAGGAACCGCCGCTTTATAAAATGATAAAACATATTGACGATATACTAAATATCAAAGTTGATGAAAAAACAAAAGAGATATATTTAGTATCCGAAGACAATAAGTTATCTGAATTATTTTTCAATTTAGTTAATAGTGGCTACGAACCAAGAATTAGATTTCAAGCTGGTATTATATCAGAAATAAAAATAAAATTTAACAAAACAATATATATAATAAAAACACAAAATTTAATAAAAACTTCTGCAGATGGATGCATTGCAGTATGTAATGAAACTACATATAACAATATGAATAAAGCAATGTTTAATTTTAATAAGTCATTGTTTAACTTATCTCATAAATCGTTTTATAATGACATTGATATTCAAATTTTAGACGAAGCCAGAACAGTTGTTCCATCTGGCTTATTGTGCGATAGGGGCGATATCAAAAATGAAATCGAAATCGATATATCAAAAGCATTTACTCATGCGTTTATTACTATATCAGAAATACCAGTATTTAATCAATTTGACATATGGCGAGCGTTTGATGATACAACTGATATTTATGACCTACACGACTTAACGTTATATTATATAGAAAAGAAAACTACTATACTAAAACGGACAGGAAGAATGCTATTTAATAAAAAATATTGCTTAATCTATGGTGTATTTTTGAAACAACTAGATAACATGACAAGAGAACGAATTAATATTTTATACTTTAAACAACCTTCATGTATTCACAAAGTTGAACATAAAAATATTGTTAATGAACTTTGGAACACAAACATTAGCGAAGACAATGAGGAAGATAAATGTATAAAAAGACTGGTCGCAAATGTTAATTATGGACTTTTAGAAAAGGGGGGAGCAACTGACCAGAAGAGCACAGTGTTTAAAAATCTTAAGGAAGCTTTAAACTATCAGGCAGAATATGGAGGTAAAATACATAAATTAACACATTTCACGACAGAACAAATTACAGTAGATGAAGAACAATATACAGCAGAAGAAGAACAAGCGTCATATTATATACTTAATGTAAAGGACACATCACGCTTAAGGAATGGTTTTAGGTATGTAAAAGAGCTACTGCTTCAATACCATAATTTTAGAATGTATCAAGATTATTCTAAGTTATATCAACATGGCATTAATGTGTTCAGTGTCAAAACAGATGCGTTTACAATAGCGCGATCGGATATAACAAAAGCAAGAGAGCTTTTAATCTTTAATAATGAAATAGGAGGTTGGCGAGTTTCAAATGACGAATATATTAAATTTCCTACTGTAGATTATGAAATTACACAAAACGAATTAATACAAATACCAATTTATGAAAGTAAAACTATTGATATAGTAGATGAATATGACACAGATAATATTATAGAAATTATTGAACAAAATAATCCTATTATGATTCGTGGAGCACTACCGGGCACAGGAAAATCATATATATGTCAAAAAATGGTTGATAAAAATTATAATGTAATTTTTATTTGTCCTACTAATAAACTATTACAGGCATTCGAAGGCGAAGCAATGACAATAAATAATTTTTTCGGTATTAATTATGGAGATGCTAAATTAGAACCATTTGATTTTACAGATTTTGATGTTATAGTATTTGACGAAGTTTATTTTAGTAATTTAAATATATATTGGAGAATAAAACAATTTGTAGAACAGAATAAGCACAACAAAATTATAATAGCAACAGGAGACACCAAGCAGTTAAAACCAGTTCAAGAGATAACAAATACTCGAGACTATGAAGTATATACTGATAACATTATAGATAACATTTTTGAATATAATATTTTGTTAAAAGAATGTAAGCGACTTAACACACAGGAAGATAAAGATAAACTAAGAAATATTAAAATGATATTTTTGAAAATAAATTACCTATTATGAAAGTTATTGAAAAATACTTTGAATATACAACTGACATAAGCAAATCAATCAACAACATAGCATTTTTAAATACAACTTGTAAAAATGTATCAAATGAAATTAGAAAATTAGAAAATAGAAAAGATGAATATGAAGTAGGAGAATTTTTAATTTGTAGAGAATATACAACAACTAAAACATCAGTTTTTAATGTAAATTTCAAATATAAAATTGTTCATATTGGAAGCGATGGAATATTTACGTTGAAAAATGTTAAAACTGAAATTCTACAGTCTTTGCCAGTTGATAAAATAAGAAGTAATTTTATATTTGCATATTGCTCGACTTGTCATTCTGCCCAAGGCAGTAGCATTGATGATACCATAACAATTTTTGATTATAACCATTTTTTGGTAAAGAATTATCCAGAATGGATATGGACTGCAATTACAAGGTGTAGAGATTTAAACAAAGTCAAATTTTATAAATATACGAAAGATATTGATGATGTATTTAATCAAAAATGTATTATGAGTTATTTTGAAAGGAAAATATTAAATTACAAAGAACAAGACAGGAAAGCCAAAAGAACAATACCTAAAGAAGGTTATGTAAATGCGCAATGGTTTTAAAATAATATCACTAATCAATGTAATTACTGCGGATGCGGTTTTTCTATGGATATTAAAAACGGTAATATAATGACAAATCTGACAGCGCAACGTAAATCAAACGAGTTGTCACACGAACTGAATAATATTATTCCTTACTGTGTTAGATGCAATTGTAGTTGTAAATGATAATAATTTAAATAATATTTTAATATTTCTTGTAAAAAAAGTATTTAAAGAAATCAAAACTATATATATTATAATAGAAATGGTGGAAACCAAAATCAATAATTATATCAATAAGAAATGCTACAACTGTTGCCACTTCAAAAAGGAAAATATGGAATTGTATAAATTAAATTTACCTAATAAAATATTGAATAATATTATTAATTATTCAATGGATGAAGAAGATGAATGTACAATTTGTCAGGAATGGAGAGATAATCAAGAATTAATCAGATGTCATTTAAATCTGAAAAGAAGACATAATAGAAATGTTGAAGACGACATTATAATATTTTTAACTGTGTATGAAATACCGCCTTATGATTATATTAAACAGTTTCTTAAAATCCCTAAGAAAAAATATGGTATGATTGATGATATATTAAGGATGTTGTGTTATAGTCAAGAGAAAGGACAAGATGTTAAAGAAAATATCAAATTATTTATTGAAAGTAAAAATTTTAATGTTCAAAATACATTGAGAGATATTAATATTATTTTTAAAATGATGTATGAAAGAAGTAAGACAAATCAATTAAATTATTATCCTGTACTGAAATTATAATCATAATATAATAATAACATGTAAAATATTATATGTTATACTTATATTTCAATATTTAATTTTATTTCTTGGAAAAAAGTATTTAAAGAAATAAAAGCTATATATTATTATATAGTGTGTAATGGCGGAAACCGAAATCAATAATTATATCAATAAGAAATGCTATGACTGTTGCCACTTCAAAGAGGAAAATATGGAATTATATAAATTAAATTTACCTAATGGAATAGTTAATAATATTGTTGATTATTCTTTGGGTAAGGAAAATTTATGTAAAATTTGTAGAAATTGGAGATATTACCAAGACGCAATCGAATATAATTTAGATATTAAAAGGTTTAATGAAAGAAATGTTGAAGATGACATTTTGATATTTTTAACTGTGTATGAAATACCGCCTTATGATTATGTTAAAGCATTTCTTAAAATCAGTAAGAAAAAGTATGAAATTATTGACTACATATTATGGGCATTGATTTATCATAAAATGGAAGGGGTTGATGTAAAAAAAATCATTAAATTATTTATTGAAAGTGAAAAGTTTAATGTTAAAAATACAGTGAGAGATATTAATAGTATTATTAAAATGATGTATGAAAGAGGAAAGATATATCAATTAAATAGTTATCCTGAATTTAAATTATAACCATACTATGATTATAACATTTATACCCTTATATGTTATAATTATAATGTAAGTATAGCGTTTTATATATTGAAGATAAAATCCTACAAGGTGGGCCATGCGCAACTCCGGAATATCCAAATTTTGAAAAATGATTAATTATTTGTCTTCTCATTGAATTATTGAAAATGTTGTTTCTTATTGAATAATTCTTTTTAAAATGATATATATATTTATCTCTTTTGAAAAAAAAAATATATTTTCTAAAATATTTTGGAAAATGTGTGTTTTTGAAAATAAAAATGTTTAGGTGTATTGAATTTTTCAAAAAATAATTCAATTTTTGTTTTGGTATGCAGTACTAAAAAAATATTTATCAAAATGTGTTTAGACTGTTTCAAAAAATGTTTTAAAATGGCTGTTTTGAGGCGCTTATTCAAAAAATGCAAAAAATCCTAGGGTGGACCCTAGACTTTTGAGTCCGAAAAAAGTTGCGCATGGCCTGCCCTAACTGCACCTTGGCCCATGCAAAACACCCAGGACTTCACTTGTCTCCGCTACCATCATTTTAGCAAAGGGCAAAGATATCTCCAAATTGGGACGCTCCCTAAGTGAGCGTTTCGCTGTTGGTTTCCCTTTAACCTTCCCTCACAAAAAGAAGAGCATCCTAAAAGCAAGACACTCCAATATATCGCTGCGTCTTAACAAATGGTAACCCTCGACAAAAGACTCTCTGCCCAGATATTCCGATCCAGGCACATGTGATGAGAAGGCCTCCAAGCTGCCATACCACGTGACGATGGCCTCATGAATGCATTCTTTATCGAAGTCGCTGCTGCAACTCACCTTCAACACCTGGTTGGCTCAAGCCCCGCGAGAAGAGCTTCGCCGTTTGGGGTGGATAAAACTCAAACCATTTCAGAATTGTCCCAAAAGGAAGCCAGAAGGGGATGAGTGAGTGTGTTTAACCTTTCCGGTCCCTAGTAAACACCCATCAATCCGCAAAAGGTTAATTAGAGTCTAAAACTCCGAACACGCCAAATGACATCGAAGTTGGCGAGGTCAGATCTCAACTTCACAGTGGCCCGGTGGTTTCGCCATATCGCGTAGCCGGACGCGGGCATCAAAATGCCACACACCGCGAAGAGTACGACCAGCACTGCTTCGGGGCTGCCTCCTTCCGGGCCCGCCCTGGCCTTCCAGAATGCAAGAGAGGAGAGTTGCCACCAACAGAATAGCATGCAGGCGGAAATCTCATTGGTCACAGGTGCTATCACGATCTTTCCTTCTGGATTCAGCTTGCGATATGCGGCGATTTCGAAGACACACCATAACCTTGAGAGCAGGGGTGAGCTCCACAGCACACGCAATTCTTCGGAAGCTTCCAGGAAAGCTGAAATTGACATGATTCCTTCCCTCGTTTTGGAGCTCTCTGTCTGATTGATGCAGACAAAGTCCAGGAAGCACTTGTCCTGCTTGTAGCATGGCAGGTGCGGAAACAGGAGGCATCCTGAGAGAATCCCCAGCAAACCAAAAACCTGAATCCAGCAACCAGAAGGAAAGGCGCCATCCAAGTGGATGGGAATAGGCTGCCAAAGCTCGAACAAAGGAAGAACATCTAGCATGCACAGGGCGAAGGCGAGGATAACCCCACATGCCCAGCAAATCGAGATGGTAGGCCAGCCGAATTGCAGGAGCAGTGACAAGCACTTCCATCTGCCGTCCGTCTTCCAGGTGTGTGAGAAGAAGAAGTGAAAGCCATGAGTTGGCACAGAGCTACGAAATAAATAGTCCTGTCCAAGGGACCTGGCATTAAAAGGTTCTCTTTTTGTGGCCATGACCAAAAGTAGACCAAACACAGGCAACCAATAGAAAAAGGTCTTCTTTCAACAACTGAGACTCCTTCTGGGGCATGGTTCGGGTTTGCCTATTGGCAAGCCAATAGCTATAGGGCTGTGCCAAAGTCTTACGCAATGAAATGCTCCGCATCCACTGTCGCTCTGCACCGCTGGGACAAGTCAAACTGCTGCTTCTGCGAGCAACAGGTGGATGTAGTGAGTCGCTCGAACTGGGCGTTTCAGACTCCTCCAGCGCGCTTTCAACGAACCGACCGAACATGGGAATTGCTAAGACATATCGCAACACGTGTTTCAAGATGAGCACCAAAAAATGCAAACAAAAACACCAGACCTGGCGACTGCGGAGAATTTGCATGGCACCGAGCCCTTCACAAGAATCATCTGGTAATGGCAGAAGGTCGTTTTCCACCTGGATGGGTTCTAAAGGAGGCCAGGAGCAAGCGTCAACTGTCTCACATGGCGGTTTACAGCAAGTCATGCTCGGCTTGGCCTGTCCAAGGTGAAACAGCGCGAAAGCGCGCGGAGACAATAATTCAAAATGCTGCGGCGCATGGACAAATAAATGTGGCTCAAACAACATGGACCAGAGGGCTGCAGCCTGGTGGGTTCCTGCCAACGCTCAAGAATCAAGCTTTGCCCAAGGAATCGCCAGAGGAACACGCAAAATCGACTGGTTGCTTGGTTTGGGTTGTTTCTGTTGGAAACTTAGCGTTGTCGGTAGGCACATTTAAGGCAAGACGAGTAATGCAAGAGGCGAAACAATGTTTTGTACGTTCTCCTGTAACGAGGTAGTTTGGCGAAAAAGAGTTTCCCAGAACCTTCTAAGCATTTCGGCGGCACTTTGGCAGCCAAAACGTCAAACTCTGCACATCTCCGGGCCCAAAAACTTATCCACGGCATCCCAAAGAAGGCCTTCGGCCCCGGGTCTTTGCACCTTGGCGCGCGAAGAGTTGGAAATGAACCCCTCAAACAGGCACCTGAGGTTCCAAGCACCGCAGGAAGCTCGCTGGAAAACACGACCCGGGAGCTAAAACCGCAAAAGAGAGGATAAAAGAGAAGTCGCTGGGGAACTTAGACAAGCGGTAAGGGTTGCCTAGGAAACACATTGCCGGGAGACGAATTGTCTAGCCCACAACCACATCTGCACCAACTAGCGCAATTACAAAACTGCATGTAAGAAGTCTACAAGTGAGGAATCTTCAACAGGGTGCCCGAGCTCTTTTCTCCTGATCAGAAAGCCCGGCAAAGGTGCGCAGTTGGGCCAAAGATGGCCATACCTCGGACTTTTGTCATCTTAGGGATTTCTTGGTCCTAAAACCCAGCCTTCCACAATGCATTTCGGTTCCGGATCTCTACGTTACAAGCGGTTCCATGAAGGACAAAGAACCAATAAAAAGGCCTAGACAATCAAAACGGAGTAAAGGTGTTATTTACCTAGTAAAGTTGTGATCATAGGACAATCATGTGCGCACAGCAGTCCGCGTCAAACATCCCGACTTGCTGCCCATGTCCAACATTGCCGCCACGAGAGAAACAATGAAGTGAGGTGTATTTCATCATACCCTCATACATTTGGTCTACTGAGAAAGCTCCATTACCAAGACATATATAAATATATAGGCTCACCCCCCCCCATACCCTACCTTTTCACTTGTACAGTCTAGAAAAACTGATAATTTCAAAAGTAGGGGGTGAGTATATATATATATATGTACATTTTTGGCTTTGATGCTATACACAGTTTCCTTGCTATATATTGCTCTGCTGCTAGAAGCTCAAACCAGGTCATTCAAAGTATCTCTTTTTTCTTGTAGCTATGATGTCAGAAGCCAGTGAAATCTCTCTGGAAACGGCCCTGAATGCAGAACTTGTCCAAGCCCAATGTCGTGGACTTGCCGGCTCCAAAACCTGCACAGGCTCAAAAACATGCAAACAATCCAAACCTGGAAGCTCCAAAACCTGCACAGGCTCAAAAAAAAGCAAAAAATACAAAAATCCAGACCAATCAAGCCCTGACCTCTGACATTGCATCTGGGTTTTGCATTTTTTGCATTTGTTTGGAGCCTGTGCAGGTTTTGGAGCTTCCAGGTTTGGATTTGTTTGCATTTATTTGAGCCTGTGCAGGTTTTGAGGCTGAAACCATCAAACAACGAAAAACAGGTGATTGTTTGCAGTTTCCAAAAACAAACACTGCAAATAACAGTGTTTTCAACACTGACAAAGTTGCATCTGAAAACGCTTCCCGTTTTCGTGTTTGTTGCTTTCTCGAATCCTGTTTTGCATCAAGTACAGAAAGCACATCTGAGACAATATCAAAAATGCACCAAAACACCGTAAATTACAGTGTTTTCTGCAAGGCATCTGCAAACCAAGTGCACACTGAACATCTGCAAATAAATCTCTTTCATGCAAAAAGTAGAAAGGTAGGCCCTGGGGGGGGTGACCATATATATATATATATGTGTGTGTGTGTGTGTTTTGCCTACAGATCATACACCATCCTGCCCAGTTCAGTGAACAAACACTGCCTCTCGATGAAACCAAACGCCCGCTCCCGCTGCCGCCGAGTTCCGAGGGACCGGCTGAACCTGAGCAACCTCAGGCCTTACGCATTCAATTAGGGGCTTGTGCAAAAAATCGGACACCTTTCTGGTAGCCCCTTTCAAAGGCGGCACACCGCACCTGGGTCCAACAAAGGGATATTGGTTTGACAACTCCCCAACATCCAGCGACCAACTTCCAACTTTGCAAGCTGGATTCCTCACCTTTTCCCTGGACAGGGCACAAGGCAACACGAAAGTGGAGCCCATTTGCTCTCACAAACATGGAATTGCACAACCCCTTCGTGAAGCTGCTATAACAATATTGTTCCAGCTGGCACCAGGTTAGATACATATTCCTCCCTCATAAAAGAGAGTCAAAGGAAGCACAGAAAGCTCCACCTCTTCAAAACGGCTCGGGCACAGCACGACGCGGCGGGCGCGGCCAAGTGCACGGCCCCTCTTGCGCTTTGGTGGCCGACACCAGGATCGGCACGCAGTGGGCAACTTTCAGAGGATAGGCCTCCAGAATCACTGGGCGGTGAATGATTAGAACCTGTAAAGCACACGAATGAAGGACAAAATGCAGTACCACTCAGGTTGGGGTCCGCAAAAGCAGCCTGCGCCACAAACGCCATGCTGTGAGGAAAAATAGGCTGTGGCTCAAAAATAAGGTTACTACCCCTAACCCCCAGATTTGAGCCACACCCACTTGTCTTCCAGGCCCAGTCAGGTCCCAGGTCGGGTAGTCTCCCTCCCCCCTCCCCCCGTGGGAAGAAAAGGGCACTCGAAGGAAAACCCCCTTCAAACAAAAGTCGAAAAGTCCTAAGGGCACTGGAGGTCGGGGTCTTCAAAAGGGGGCTGGCAATAGTGTTGATCTAAGAAACAAAGAAAATCACCAGGAAAAAACACCTTGGCTGCGGCTTGTTGCTTGGATGAGTGTGTTCTTTTTCGGAGGTATTCTTTAAGGAAACCAAAAGGAACACCTCCTATTCTGACGGGTCTCCTTGTCTTGGCATATGCCCAAATTTGACTTCATGTAAACTGACCCTGAGGATGTGAGCGGAAACTCTAGAGACAGCTTCTTTCCCGACTCACCGCGATTCCTGTCGCCTTCGCCACATAATCCTCGCCCTTCTCCAAATCCTCGCGATGACGGCGCATGGTCTGCCGGTAGTTGTTCTCCAGCAACTCTTGCCTGTCCTGCAGCTGTGCCCGGTCATAACTCCGAATCTGGGATCCGGAAATAAAGGGGATCATCCGATCGAAGGTTTGATGATCCCGATCGACCCCGAAGTAAAAGGGTGATTTGACCATGGCACATCTGTGTTCAAGGGGGAAGAGGAGCCAGGAAAATTGGGGCTCCACCAATTTTGGGGTAATTCGCCGTAGCCCTACCCCTTTGAAACGGGTTCTTTCCAGAATACGTGCCAACACCCAGCAGACCAGGTGGTTTCTGCACAGAAGAATTGGCGAAGAGACTGGGAAATCCAAGCCCCAGGAGTTCACCCACCACAAGACTTCCTAGTTTCCCAACAACTTTTGGAATGCAAGCTACACATGTTGTTCTTGGCAGCCCCACGCCAAAAAGAAAATGGTCAAACCGAACCCCCCAAAAACAACAAACACAAAAGCACACTGACAGAGCAATGAATAAAAGCAAAAAAAAAACATGAAAGGACATCTGGAAATCAAATCAAGCACCTTTTAGCGACTGATCAGTTGCCCCACTCCTGCCACTCATCTGGAGGCTTGGGCACCGTATAGACGCCTCGCAAAGCGATCGCAAAGCGACTGGCAAGGGCTTAGCGTCCTGTTTGGCCGGGAGAAACGAGCCGATCAAAAGGAAAGACATTTTGAGGGTGCCTCTGTTTGGATACAAGTAGAAAGGCCTCATGGTGGTCCTTCAAAAGTCTTGAGGACCTGAAAGCCCTCCGTTTGACCAAGTTGAGGCCCAGCTGGTGCGGGCATGTCTGCAATACCTGGCCCCGCTTCAAGCAAGAAGTACAAATCCAAATTGCCAGCGAGAAACGCATTTAAACATAAGGAGTCCCCCCAGAAGAAATTAGATGACACTTCCTAGGTAATTCATGGTGGTGATGTAACCCCCGTTGCTTTGTTCGGGCCAATGTCGATTGAGTTGTCTTGTGGGCTGTTTGAAGGGATTGAGTTGTCCTGTGGGCTGATTGAAGGGGGAATGAAAGGCTAAGGGGCCAGCCTGTACTTCAAAACAACCTCAAAAAGTGTTGGGGAAAAGGGCAAACCCATGTTCAAGAAAAAACAACAGGGACAGTTGCCTTGTCGGTTCAGTGAGTGGGTCCAGTAGATTCCGGAAAAGCTGGAGCGACGAGGACGCTACACTAGCCCGGGGATGTCAAGCCACCACCAACACAATGGGGTTCAATCTAACCGCCATTGATTACCTGAGGAGATTCATCAAAATTGGGTCCTTGCCGCTCTTATGGGGGTCAAAGCCAACGGGTACCGGGATGTTCAACCAACTGAGTAAGTCGGGTCAAGCATGGTTATCAGGGGACGATCACCCCAGTAACCAAAGTCATAACCATGGTCATAACCCAATGAGTTGGTTATAACCATGGTTTACTAAGTCATAACCATGGTTTACTAAGTTTACAAGTTGGTTGAACACCAAAGTCATAACCATCCCATCGGCTCGGCCCATTTAGGCGGCCCTCATAAAGGCTGACGGCACCTCGTGCGGCGCCGCTCCCGCTGCTCGGCACCAGGGAGGCCTCGCGCAGTAGGAGGATGTGGCCGGTTGGTGTGTTGAGCTTTTTTAGGGTGTCTAAAGGTGCGGAGAAGGGCCTCTAGGCAGTTCCATATGAGGGGTCTCCAAGTTGTCTCTAAGGGACTCGAAGGGTTCTTACGGGTTCTAGGGGTGGTTTTAAGTTTTTTAGGGGTGACTGCTTTCCATCCTTTCCAACCATCGTTCTTTGCAACCAGCCATTTCCCCTCGGTGTTTGATGGTTTTCTGGAAAGAAGGACTCGACAGATTCTCACTTGCCCGAAGGACCAGAAAGAATCATGCAATGAGGATGTTATGTCGAAGGGGGCTGGGAGGGGGGGGGGTCCATGCCCTTTGATTGGTTGGGTTAGAACTGTCTGTTAGGCTTACGTAGTGGTTCGTTGATACCCTGAAGGTTAATCTATGGTGGGATATGTCATAAATCCCTCTGATGTGTGCCATTAGCGTATGAAAGTCTAAAAGTCTACAAGTCTGCGTGAAACGCTCTCAGAGGTTTGGCTCCGTGGCTCAAGGGACCCGTGGCTCAAGGGACCCGTGGCAGACGTGTTCGAATCAGCTTGTTTAGGGTGAGCTGGCGACATGATCTGCGAGTGAGCGGATTTGCCGGGGTCGAGGTTGAGAAGTAGAGGTTGTAAGAAAGGGTAGCAACCCAGCATGATTCGTGGATACTGACAGTCAAGTCTTGCCCTGGGATTCCATTCACCACTCAAACAGTTGGGGGGCCGATGCCACCATCCTCTACCGTTCAAACTGTCCCATGTCACTTGAACCCGAGGGTTGTGGAATACCGGAAATCGGCAGATCCGGGCTCCCCTGGCAACGGATCATCGGGCTTGGCGAACGAGCCAGTTCAAGTTGCTTCGGCCCGGGGCCGTCAAAGTGCCCTCCTCAAAAATGAGCCTCAGCGTTTAAACGGAAACCCCCAAAAGACTATCTTGAGAACCCGTCGAAATCTTTGCTTCGGATCCGAAGTCGCAACCCTCGCTGGCAGCCGAGCTGCCCAAACCTCCGCGGCCTTGCCGCCGACGATGCGGCGGAAGGCGAGTTCCTCGCACGGAAGGAAAGGATTCGGGAGCGGCTCGAGGAACGGTCTAGGGTCGTTTTGTTGGGTTTGTTGGGATCCCTGAATTCTTGGGAATTCAGAGGTTGTCCTTCTTTCTTTTCTTTTTTTTCGGGACAGGGGTTAAGTCATTCGAAGAGGAGGAGCCCGGAACATATTGGGGAGGCAGAGTGGGCTATGAGTTTTAGTAGGGAACCACTAAAAAGTGGTTAGTGGACACGAATCCCAACCTAAGCCATGTCCACCCAAGAGCCCCTGAATAAAACTCATGCCCAAATTATTACTCTCTTTTAAACAATCATGGAGGTTCACAGGGGGCGTCGCCAAAAGGAAGGTAGTTCCTGCTGATTGCACAATCAAAAGCTAGAAAAGCAAAAGGAAAACCAGCTCGGTGACTTGACAAATCGCTAATTTGATGTGCCTTCACAATCCCAGCAAGGTGTTGCCTTCCGCTCCGTTTTCTTATACAAGAACCGTGTGCCAAAAAATAGGGCATTGTTTGCTTGGCAGACCAACGTTTGACGATATTATTGCCCGTTGTTTGGGGGGGCCCGTATCGTGATATGAAGGCTTATACAAAGCCCTTGCCGTGATCCCTGCACCGGCAAGCAGAACTGCAATTGGGCTGCTCTCTCCGGAGTTAAGGACCATTTCAGGCGAGCGTGGGAACAGGACAACAGTGACTTTTGATGCGCGAAGCCCGCCTTTCTGTTCGAATACTCTTTGAGAACCAGCAGGTTCTTGCTCCACGAAACCAAGCAATGCATTGCCCTGCTCGGAATCAGCATGATACTCAGTAAATTGTTAGGAAACGAGAATAGCACCGAGCCACCCTAGTTGCTGAGTCGTGTTATTTGAGCCCATGAATCAAAAGGTAACATGGAGCAAAAAGCCGACTTGGGTGGTCCATACTCTCCCACCCCAGCCAGTGTCACGTGAGCTGGTGGATGGGTCGCCCTTTGTGGAGGTACGGAACCCTTCCTTCCCTTGCGCGCGTCGGTCTCTTTGGAACCGGGGCACATCGGTGTAGTGGAAGACCACCCGCGCGTCGCCTTCTTTGGCGAGGTCCAACGCGTCAGCCCAGACCTGAGACTAAACTGATTCGGGTGTGGACCCTATACCCTCTTTCCAACAATGAAAACGTGTGAGTAGACATTTCAATAAAAGGATGAAGAACTGTCAAGGGTATGAGTTTAACTCGGGCCACGCGAAGTAGACATCAAATACATGGAGGATTCATGTCCCTGCAAAATTCATAGCCATCCTAGAACAAGGATGATCCCGAATGGTCCACAGCTTCCAAGAGTCACCTATAGTCACGCCCCTGTTTCCAATGGAAGCGGACAAGGAGCGTTGCTAAGATGATCAATCTTCCAAGCTCCTGTCCACCTGTCCCAAAGGGATTTGCTCCCTAGTTACCTTGGAACCCAAAAAGGTCGTGCCCCAAAAGAAAACTCCTCTGCAAAACAGGCATTTGCTTTGGGTTCCTTGCGTTAATCTGCAGGAGAGTACCATCATTCAGCTGCCGTGGCTCAGAACAGTGCCGGATACTTGTGTTCTCTGATTCTTGAAAAGGGTACAGTACACCTTGTTGGCGCAGTTTCAAGGGAAACCAAAAGCAAACCACCTGCTCTACGGGTTTCCCTAGTTTGACGTAACTCATATTCTGATTCAGAGCCATAGCAAGGGAAGCCATAGTGACTCCATTCGTGACTAGTGACTATTCAGGGGCCCGCAAGGATCACTTTCAGGACCATAACCCTCCAATGCCTCTTGCGAGTTAGGCTCTTGCGAGTTATATCTGATCAGTATTGGAGTGAGACATTAAGATGTACATGATATATATATATATACACACACATCTAGACACGCAAACATGTCTATTGGTTGCTTTTTGAGGGTAGCGTTGGGGTGAGTTCCAAGGGACATATATATATATATATGTGTATAGATAGATATATATATATATATACATAGGATATCACAACTTTTGGTGCTCCTCTATGTTGAGGCAAACCCATATGGGTGTATCCTTTTTAGGAGACCCCCAAAACGGGGTCTCAACGGGTGTCCTCGTGTCTTCCAGTACCTCGAATTGTGCCTCAGGCCGCAGCTTTGATGCCGGTGCGCTTGTGCAACCAACACCACTCCTCGGGCAAAAAGTCCTCGGTGACATGGAAACTGAGGGGTCAACCGGAGATACGCACCCATCCAAACTGGCGCAACCGCTTTCCATTGGGTCCGCCAGTCAATGGGAGAAACGGACCTATCCAGACTGGCGCAACTGCTTTCCTTTTCTTTTGGTCTTTGCCAAAGCCGGAAAAAGGGGTACCCTCAAACCACACAGACACATGGGTTAATGTCCCTGGGACAAATTCGATTTCGCACCCGGCGCCACTGGCTTCTTCGAGCCGGAGAGGTGAAATGAAGGTTTCGGAAACCGTACCCTTTTTGGCCCAAATCTGGGATACACACGAAAACTCATCTTCGGAATTGTTGTTCCTATTTCGTCCCTGGAGTCCAACACGAGTTTGGAGAACCCAGGTTCCCTGCCGCTGCCCTTTCGTTTCCACTCAAAGTGAGAAGCCGCAAGCAAAGAAAGTGGTTGCTCTTTGGAAACAATCCCAAAATGGCTACCATCCAAAAGCGAGTCGTAATCAAAACCCGCCCAATGCCATTTGAAGAATCAAAACAAGGACGGTTCTGGCCGCAGGCCCTTGTTCTTGGTCAATGTCTCCGCCCGACGTTCCAGTCAAAAACCAGGATGACTTGAGAAAAGGGCAAAGGTATAAACAAAAAACAAAACAAACAAATGTACCGAATGTGACCCTCTGACCCTTCATGGAAATAAGAAACTGACCAGTTCGAGGTACCAAAGTTGATCCCACTGACCTGTCTTTGACCACCCAGGCCTGAAGCAACACAAAAAGATCAAACTGGATGGAGCCTTCGGGTGGGTTTGAGAGAACCACCATCAGGTTCCAGGGTTTGATCGAAATTGCTCCCATTCCCTTTCCGGAAAGCCAATGGATTTCCCTTTATACACCCATTTGGGGAAACCAAACCAATCTACCCAAACTTGGCCAAGACCCGCAGAAAGTGACGACTTGTTGGTCAAAAGGTGACATGAAGGTTATTCTGGCAATGCAAACGCGCTTTGATCATCTTGCAAGCAAAGCTCGGAGCACCCCTGATTATAGGGACCGGCTCCCTTGACCTTCAAGAAAAACTGGGAGTCAAAGGGCAAAGTCCCTTCAGAATATATCATGGAACCCCAAACACATCATTTACAGAGGATTTCCTTTTGGGGGAACGCATGTTTACGGCAACCCGTGATAATTTGTAGCGGAAGGTTCGTATTTCCCGGCATACCAAGCGAGAAGCAACCAAATCGGGGGGAAGTGGAAGCCTCTGAGCGGCTTCTTCAACGACATCAAAGATCCCACCCAACCGTCATGAGTCATGACAACTGATGTTGTCTGCAGCTCGTTAGGCGAATGGATGGTGTTGATGGTCTTCGAGAGTCTTTGGAACGAGGGTCTTTGCCCTTCGAGGGTGTTGGAGGGTAGGCTCCCCTCAAATTCACCCAAGCCTCCTCAAAAACAGCCACCCTGAAAGGACGGTGTCCCTCAAAAGTTGTCTTGAGTCCTTCAACCACGCCCTCCAAAAACAAACCCAGGTGTCCCTCTGACAGCTGCAAGCAAAACAGCCCAGGCACGTAGTCTCCCCGCTCAAAGGTTCCACCCTCGCGGTAACTCTGCTCGAAATAGTCCCGCAAGTTGTCCGCCATCCTGGCGATGCGCTTTTGTGATCCCCCGGTTGCCTGTTTCGTACAAAGCTCTGGGGATTTCCAAAAGGGAAATCGGATTCCAAATGCCCACCAAAACAAGGATTTCCTGTAGAGTTTCCTGTAGGTGGCTTCTTAGCCTGTTTGTTGGAACGGGTTGGAAGAACGATTGGGTCCTCGTGCCCTGCCGCCAGCATCTCCCCTCGCCTCGCCCAACAATAGCGTTGATTCTGGTCTACCAAAGAACCCAACAAGAAACAACTTGCATTGGCAACACCTCCCCCCAACTAGCTTAAAGCCAAGTACGGGGTCCCTTAACGATTGGAGCTCTTGAGAAGGTGCGCTAGTCACTTGCCAGGCGTGGATAGAGCGGGTGCGCTTGAGAGGATGCGCGCTGATTATTTGGCGGGCGCGGATACAGTGCTGACTGAGAGGACGCTCTTGCGCAGGTGTGCTTGTCATTTGCCAGGCGTGGATGCCGATGACCAGCGGCAAAGGGATAGCATCCAGATTCCAATGATGGGTCACAAAAAATTGCGCATGCCAAGCGGAGGTCTGCTGCCCGCGTGCGCATGCATGCATGCGTATGTCAAGAGACGCACTGCGCCCCCCCAACCCTCCAATATTGCTCCTTGGCCCACGACAGGTACAAAATGCGGATACGGAGATCCGGACACAAAACAAAAAGGATTGAACGATGGGAATCCATCCCACAGGCCTCTCCCTCCGCCCCCACCTGGGGGTGGCTGACGTGCATGGGGCACTTCGCACGCGACCTTTGCTTCGCCGCTTTCAGTTTAAGGTAGGCTGTGACTGCGTTTTTAGCATTGGTTCTCTGCTTGACACATCAAGCTGCGCAGGGAATTGCATTGCTGATGGCATCTGTTAGTGTTGTGAATGTTCAGTGCTGTGTGGCAAAAAGCACACCTCCCAAAACCTGAGGTGTTTGACAAAACGCAAGAAGAACCATACGGCTTTGGCCAACAACATTGACACTGCTTGAGCCAGTGGCCATCACGAAGCATGCCGTGGCCGGGTTTTGTGAGGAAGGGCGCCTTGCAACCAGAGGGTATTCACACGCGTTTCCCCGGGTTTTGTGCAACCCAAAAACCAGCCTTTCAACCACAAATCCGCCGACGCCAGTCGAGCGTGTAGATGGCAGTCCGCAACTTGGTCTTCCTTCGGATCTCTTATCAAAGCCGAAGGCTTTGGGGCTGCCAATTTTTGGGCATGGTGTGCTGGGTGTCCAAAACCCTGTAATTTTCCAGTGTTTTTAGGGCTTGCCTGCTAAAAACCTGCGTTTCGCCTAGGTCTCTAGGGGGGGGGTTCCCGGACGCGCAGGATCTGCATCCCCAGCATCATCAGGGTAACCTTGCTGCTATGAATTTGTCTCTTGTTTTTGCAGATACTAATGGTATCTTTCTATGTTTTAAGCGATGTTGGAATCGGCCTGTTAGGGGTCTGGGTGGGGCCAAATGCAGTGATACGTTGAGGAACTGCTTGAATTTGCAAAAATTGCGAAACATCTGCATTATCGTGTTTTTGGAAGTCTATTTTTAGGGTATTTGAAGGGGGTTGCTAGTATCTGCTTTTGATGGTTGACTTTGGGAAATATCGACAAATCCGGTGTTTTTGGACTTTTTTGTGGCATTCCCAGCATTCCCGACATCTCTGGCATTTTCTGTGCCAAGAAGGCCTTGTTGTGGCACTTTCAGACTTCCACAAAAAAGAACAAAGGTCTTAAAATCCCTTGCACACTGGCGTCGGCGGATCGCGTATAAGGTACCAGAACATGACAACCACACTTGGTCCCTGGTTTGGGGCGGTGGTCTTTTGTCTCCCTGAGCAAGCCTAGATAGGCCCTTTCGGGCTTCACAATACGTTGGAGCCAGACTGGTCCTGGGGCTTTGTAGGGCCTTGAGGCCAACCGGGCCGCCAGCTGTGAAGCTTCAGCTTTCAGCGCGGGCCACTTTACAGCCCTACATGGTTTAAGTGGGGAAAGACAAGTCCCACCATTTTGTAGGAGGTTCCCCCCAAAGAAGAATCCATCGCCACATCCCCCCCCCGAACCAAAAAAAAGAGAGCCATATTTCAGAGGTGCGTGGATCGGAGGCCTCTCACAATGCACATCGCGTGCTGCCAAGTACCCCTCAAACCCCAACGGAAGGCGTGTTGAGCAGCCTGGTCCAAAACCAACCAACCAACCAACCAACCAACCAACCAACCAACCAACCAACCAACCAACCAACCAACCAACCAACCAACCAACCAACCACCAACCAACCAACAAGCCACCTGACCGGGGTGGGGTTAGTAAACAAACAAAAACGGATTCCACAGGCCATATCAAAAACTAAAACCAGACCTGCTTTTTCGCTGGTTCTGCTTGAAGTAAAAGCCCCTCCAAAAACAAGCAACAAGGAAATGCGCCACTGGAGGTCAGGCAAGGACGCCTATTTGGGGAGACGCATTCAAAACCGGCCGGCCGCGTGTGGTTTATGTGCGGTCTTTTCTTACGGCATTCCCGCAGTCCCGCGGCTGTTCCGCGGGGCATGTTCCGATTCGCCAGAAACTCCGGGAAACCATCGTGGTCGCGGATAGCGGTATCGGGGCTGCATGCGTGGAAGATTGGACCTCCAAGCTAGGCGAACTGGGGAGGGGGGGCCTAACTCAAGCCTTTTTCAGGGCTTATCCTTGGCTAACCCCAGGGATAGCACCCCCCAGCTCGCCCGCCCTTGGAGGTCCAGGACTCAAACAGTCGGACATCTACACATTTCACACATGAAAGGATCCGAAAATGAAACCTGAAGAGCTTGAAATCAAAGGAGAGCCAGTCAGTTTGGAGGTGTGCCGACACCCGCTCACCCCATCATTTTCAACACGCTTCTTTTTCCTGCAACCTAGAAGCTTTTCGTTCATTAGCATGAGGGCGAAAGCAGTAAACAAACAAACGAGCGAGCGAACGAGCAAAGCAATTAAACAAAAAAGGCAGCAAAGCAACAAACAAGCACGCAAACATGCAAGCAAGCAAGCAAGCAAGCAAGCAAGCAAGCAAGCAAGCAAGCAAGCAAGCAAGCAAGCAAGCAAGCAAGCAAGCAAGCAAGCAAGCAAGCAAGCAAGCAAGCAAACAAACAGCAAACAAAAAAATAGACAGACAAACAGACAGACAGACAAACAAACAAACAAACAAACAAGCACACAAACAAACAAACAAACAAACAAACAAACAAACAAACAAACAAACAAACAAACAAACAAACAAACAAACAAACACACACAGGAGTTTCTGAGCATGACTGAACTGGGTTAGCACACTTTCTGTTGCAAGTGTTTGCCAGCCCTTGCGACGTTTTAGACTTTCTGGCACAGCACTTGCAGTACTGTCCTTTCGTTTGGAGAGGCCTGCAAATTTGAAACCCGCAGCACTCCGACACAGCAGCGCAGATCATCCGCAGAGCGCCGGGTTGTCGCTGATCAGCACGCTGCCTGCCCACAGAAGTTGTTCAAGGGCAAACAGAATCAACTTGGAACGACCCAAAACGACCTGGAAAGATCCCACAAACAACTGGAGAACAAAACAACCCGAAGGGAAATGGATCCAACAATACGAAAAGAAGAAATGCCCCGCAGATCAGGGTTCTTCTTCATCTCGGGAATCATTATCTTGAGAAGCGGGACGCAACAAGCTGCCAGCTATCTAAGGAAATCAGCATTGCATTTCGCCAAATTCGAATTTCCCGCCCAAACTGGGGAGCTGGGGGCAGGGTCGTTCAACACCAGGAGGCTCGGGCACTGTTTATTCCTGACTTAAACCATTGTTTGAACTGGGCTGTTCAAAATGGAGCGTTGGCCAATCCAATATTCGCGTCCCCAGAGGAAAATTGCTACGAAAGGCGATAGGTTCCTTTCACAATCCAAGGAAAGGACTAAGGATTGTTTTTGAGCAGCCAAGTTAAACAACCTCCTTTTGGCTACCTTTCAAGTGGGTCGAAATGATGGTCGTAGAAAAAGGAAAAAAGGAGAGTCAGGCCCCTACTGAGGCCCTACTCAATCGAACACTTTCCAGCCATGTGTTTCGGAGGCAACCCGCTCCAGCAACATGGAAAGGCAATATCGCAAACAAATGTTTCCCGCCCATCCCTAAGCGTCAGAAAGGACCCTCCATTGGAGGGGTCAGATTAGAAAGGCTCTCTTCCTTCAAAACAGGCCTTTTTGAGGTCCAAAAACCTTTCGGCTTTTGTTCAAACCAAAACCCCGCCAAACATTGGTGGTCTCCCTTGCCCTGCTGGCCCTTCGCCCAGCCTACGAGGCAGTCCACTGGCGCGAGGCGGCGCCAGAAGGGCTTGGCCTGAGGCCGAACGTCCCAAACAAATGATACCCTCCCGGTGCGAGAGATGCAGGGAATGAGAAATGGAAAATCACCCTGATAAACCCTGCAACTGGTGGTTTCCTTTAAGGGGACCAGAGCCTGGGTTCATACTGAGCACCAGCAAGCCTAACATGGAACCTGACGCTTCGGGGTTCTGGTTTGGACCAAGCACCGAAAAAAACGGAACCCCCGAAGGTCAGGTTCCATGCGAAAGTAAACTGGGGTTGCCAAGCTTTGGCACATGTTTGGAGCCACAGCCATAGGGTTCCCCATGTCCAGAATCCCAAGTACTGTCCAAAAAGCAGTGCTTGGGGGGGAGCTGGTGGGGTTGTGTTTTGTTGAGATAACCCTTCTCGGGTTGGCTCGAAGGAAAGTCAATGGAAAAGCCACCATGTAGTGAGTCCCCTGATGTTGACACATACCCATAAGGTAATGTTTGATGCAACAAACTGTGTTCAGTATGTGCAATATTAGGGATTATCATGGGGTTGATGACCATCAAACCGCGAGGGAATCCTGTCACATGGCACCCCTAGAAATACATACAGGTGCCTTAACATAGGAACTCAAATGTCTCAAGCCCGATGCTTTCTCCTGGGGGGTTGAACATGTCAGGGCCATGTCCATCTCACGAAAAAGGACAAACATGCCAACAGCGTTGCGCCGCACGCCGTGGCGCAACTTTGAAAAGATAGCTTTTTCAGATCAGATTCATATGTCAATGTGGTCTACCCCGAAATACACATAGCTTTGGAAGCCGGGAGAAGCCGGTAGAAAAAATGGCCCTGAAACGCTTCCAGCCCAAGTTGCCTGGACCGGGCCCCTTACAAGTTGCCTCCGCGAAGATTTTTGGACCTCAAATTCTCCGTGTTTTGTTGGCTCGCCTTTACTTGCCCCGTCGTACGCAAACACTGACGTACAAAATCCTGCACCACCTAAGAAACCGTGAATACCAACAAATGGTTTTCCATGGTGTGATGGTGCAAACGGATTTCGTCCATCCACAGAATGTCCAAAATTATTGCGCCAGATATGACCTCTGAGGGGGACCTCTAGGATTCAGAGTGGAGGCGTGCAGTGCCTCTCGCCGGGCCGGCTTGGCAAAGTTGTCTACAGGCAACCAAGACCGCTGAAAACAAGAACCACATGGCCCCTCCAAAAGCCGATCACTGTACGTTCCGCCACTTTTGGGCCCCAAAAAGCGGGAAATTGAGGAACCCCTCACAGGAGCGGCTGGCCGCTTCTGTGGCTACTTCCCCCCATTCGAACGGAAAAACCTTTCGGAAAATGGCCGCAAAACCCCTAGAATGTGGGTTCCAAAGGAACAGTGGTGGGATCGACCTTTGGATCTGCAAGATTTAGATCATGGATTCCTAAACCTGAAATAAGGAATACGGAGTCGTGGTGCATCGAGCGCGCTCGAAACCCTTTCACTCGGCCAAGACACCCGTCGCGGGGGCTGCCAGGGCTGCAGGGAGAGGCCTTAGTACCGGGCTCGGAGAGGAAAGAAACACCCAGCTGCATTCGCTCAGGAAAACCACTTGCAATCTCAATGTTGTCCTTGAGTATGACATCGGAATCCAAAAATGCTTCTCCCACTATCTTTGTTGACAAATGCATCCAACTTTGAAGTTGGGGCAAGGTGGTCGACACGCATTGTTTATGCGGATTTTAGGGTGTGGGTGTTTGTTTGGGAAGATTCCATGAAGAGGCGGAAGTGTAGGCGAATGAGTCATCGAAACCTAGAATGAAAAGTAGTCTACCCAACCCTCTTCAGGATCCCAACCATCAAGGAGTGAAGGAGCTCTTGGGTAAAACGCCTCCGGAATCCGTCCGGTCCGAGGTCAACGGTCAAAAGGCCTAGGGTTCAAAAGATCCGGCTGACCAGCTCACCACTGTCCCTCCGAAACTTGCTGCGAGGGGGTCTATGGGAATGAACCCATTTGGTCCCATAGGAAACCGCAAGGGATGGTTTGGGGAAACTTCCTCACGAGCACCGAGAGTCAAGTCCCAAAAAGATTTCAAGTACTGCAGCCACGCCACGGCCATCGCTCGCACGGGTCACCTGTCCAGTAACCGTCAGGCCTCTAGGGCTCACTCCCCGCAAGCGATATTTGCCCATGGCTGGCTTCATTTTGGAGATACTGTGGATGGACAAAATCCTGCACCACTTTGACGCCATGGCAAATCAGTGTTTGTTGGTATTTACAGGGCAATCATCATTCCAGGGTTTCTTAGGTGGTGCAGGAATTCCGTCCACGGTATGTTGGCATCCTGCCTGCATTGGCATCAGTTGGCCATCGCCTTTGGGCAAGTGGAGCTTACTTGGCCTGGCACCAAGTTGCAATGATCCGAGTCCCTTCCAAGTATCATGCCGGACCCCATGGAAGGGGCCTCTGCATTTGTTTGGGACAGTATTGACCCATGGTTGCCTGCACAAGCCAACACAGAACCAAACAGGTCCCAAAAATACGCGTGGAAGTCCTGTGATAGGAGACTCCCCAATGATTCCGCCAGTTCTATGGACTCGGATTGGGCACGGTCTGCTCATCTCTGATCACAGTTGACAAGCCAGAAAAGCAGCTTCAACTTTTTGGTTGCCTTGGCTTAAACGCTTAAAGTTGGCCAACTGAACAAGATAGGATGGCTATTTTGATGAAGCACCCAGTCGCAACTCCCCCATCGGTGACGAGTCGCCCAGAAGTTACCTCCGACTGCGAAGCCCAAACCCCCCGCCTCCCCAGGCTCCCGTGAAAGGTCAATAAAGGAACCCTCCTAAATACTACATGGGGGATCTGGAAAAAAACACGTCGCCTTTCAGAATCTCCGTTTGGGCCGAGCCCCCCTCGCCCACTATCTGTGGTATGGCTATGTTGCGGCACACATGTCCAAGAAAACAGTACCCTAACACCCTAAAGATAGAAGGACACGAAAGGCCCCGTTCCCCAAAGGTTCGGACGGAGCCTTCTTAGGACCTTTCTGGAAACTCCTGAATGACTCTCCCTTGTTCCTCCCCACTGCGTGAAGCAAATCCCCCAACCTTATGCATTTTGCTCCTCCCTTTATCCCGGCGATCCCATGGGAGTTCCAGGCATCTACGTAGATAGAGTACTCCCACCCAACTAGCAAAAAAGCAGATTCAATTTGCTAGACGATCTTTTTGTATCATGAAGATGATGATAAGTCATGTCCACCAAATTCACATCTCTCCAAAAACTATCCTAAAACCCATCTGCACCAAATATGCTCCCTCTCCCGGCCCCTTCTCCATTTTGCTCTTTTTCCCCCCCCCCCCCCCACCCCCAGCCAACCCCCTGCCACCCTCCCAATGGCTCCGCCTGGCCCACGCAGGTGGCGTAGCTCTCCGCCGAGGACACTCGCAGCGCGCTCTCCCGGAAGTCCAGCTGCGCGCCGGAGCCCAGCTCCAGGCTCTGCCTGCGTGGCTTGGCTTGGTGAAACGGGGAGGGGGAAACCCCACGCCAGCATCCACCAAGGGGCAACCCGTGGGCGTTTGGCTTGAAAGGAACTGGAAAACACCTTCACAAACCAGCCAGTTTCGGGAGACGCCCGGTGAAACTTATGATTTTTTGGATTAGGGTTCCACTTTTGACAGCCCTAAGATAGACTTAAGCCCGGTGGGAATGAGCCAGTGCTGGGTTTAAGTTCTACCCTGTAGGCAAAAAGTGGAACCCTGCCCTGGATTATGTCCCAGAAAAGTCTGTCCCCTTAGGCCGTCAGCGGCCGAGTCACTTGAAGTGCGCGGCAGCATCTGGGGACTGCACCTGAGCGACCGCGAGGTCTCGGGCGCCATGCGGTGTCATGGTCTTGGTCCCTTAGGACCCCTTTACATTGCTGGGCTGCCCTCAGATCCCGTACTAAAAGCTTACATTTGAGTGGGTTAAATGGAAACTGTGGCAGGGTGTTGTTTTCTTGATGACGTCTTTGAGGTTGCAAAAGAAATCAAGGGAAACTACCCATTGTACCAGGTTGCGCGACCTGCGGGGTCTGAACTCACGCGTGGTAGGAAGCACCGGGCCATGCGGCATGTTCACAAGATCCGGGGTTAGGGACGGCCCAACCCCAGGGGGCCCCCAGCCATCTCAACTTAGCTCTTTAGGTTTTTAAAAAAGATCCCCCTGTAATCGGGCCCGACCAACTCATCTTACGCCATTGTACGGAAGAACTTCTCGCTGTCTGTGATTCCGAAAAGGGCGATCCCTATGACTACTTGGTCACTTAGGGGAACCGGTTCCCTTGGTATCACTTTTCTGCGGCCCCAAACCCAAGATGCGTTGCCCACCACATTTTTAGGGGAGTCCTTGCAGGAGACAGGAAGGTGCAACCGTTTCAGGGGTGTCCCAAAAAGGGCCTCAGGGTATCCTTGAAAGACTCACAAGTTCAGGGCTCCATATGCTTCTCTGAAAACATCACCCCGCCCCTTATGTTCAAAATCACCAAAAGGGGAAACGTAGCGACCCCGTCCATTGCCATGGTACACTAAGCATCTTGCAAGCGGTTGTCCGAAGCCCCTATTCAGTTCATGAGTCACCAACCAACCTGAAAACCACCAAAGGATTCGGCCAAGAAGGATTTGGATCCGGGGTTGCATGTTTGGACCCCCAGGTCAACCCAAACCCAAGTCTAAGCTCCCCTCTAATTGATGATTTGGACTGGCGACCGTTTTGGAGGTGTTTCGCGGTTCTCCCATTTCGCCGCAAAACCCCGGAATTTCAACCTCACTTCCCCCCCCATCCAAACAACCACCATGGGGTTTCCCTGCCTTGGGGTCACTCCCAAAAATACGAAGCAAAAAAGCCCACTGCGAAGCTCTCCGAACCCAGCGGAGACCAAAGCCTCGGATTCTCCAAACCCGAACCTACCGGAGCCCAGGCGCCAGGTGGTTCAGCACGAAGCTGCACCACGGCTTCGGCGCCTCGCAGAAGGCCTGGCGCCACTCCTCCCGCCCGCTCCTGACCGCCAGCGGAAAGGCGGCGGCTAGGGGCCCGGGAAGGGCCGGGTCAAGAAGCTGACCAAGAAACTCCCATGGTGCCATGGGAAGAAGGGGGTTGGGGTTTAGGGTGCCATGTAGCCCTATGAGAGTGTCTCATTGTTTTGGCACCTGCCATGGGGAAAAAGGGAAACCAAGACGGGAAACTCCACTTTGGGGGAGCCCGGGTTAACAAGTCATAGGGTCTGTCATTGTTTTGAGACGACCATGTGGTCTACCTAAAAGAGTTTCTGGTGGAGCCAAGTGATGCCATTTGCCATGGTATGTCGTTGTTTCTTTGAGGGTACCATTTTTGTTGGTGTGTTAAAGACAAAAGGGAAACCAAGAGAAGAAACTCCACCTTGGGGTGTACCTCGAAAATGAAAACGCCATGGGCCATCCTGTCCTAACATGGAAGCTGACTGAGGAGTCCTATAAGACTATGTTCCTTCACCAGGGCCCCTCTGGTGGGTTCCATGTTAGTGGACAGGAGATTGTTAGAATGGGGGTTTGGGGTAACATACAACAAAATTAACATATGTCCATGCCCATTAATTAACCTTCATCTAGACGAATCGGTTTAGATTGTGGCTCATCCTCAATAGGAACCCTATGGCCCTCGACAATAGGACACCCATTCATCAACCAAGGTGCTCGCTCATCCTCTACTCATCACCGTCAAAACCTTGCCAAGCACCGAACAAGGAGGCACCACAGTTCTCCTGGATTCAACATATCGACGAAAAGAGGGGTTGATCGCACCAAATTCAGGATTCTTAGATGACCATTACATAGCGTCCAATTCAGGATGAGACACAATCAAAACCGATTCGGCCATATGAAGGCCAATGAGAACCCAGGATTAGTGGAACCCCTGGTTGATAAATAGCATTGTCTCCCTTCACTTTCCAAACTCCTCAAAAACGGGAACCATGAATATGCGAAACGCCTGAAAAAAGTGCTCATGCTGCAGGACTGACTAGGGGGTTACGCAAATCCCCATCCTCTTGTGACCTCCCGCGGAAGTCAACCATGGTGGGTTTATGCTGACCCCGGATGTAAGTAGAACCTGGTGCAGAGAAAAAAACGGTTCGGATTCTCACAACGGGAACCCCCCCCCATTCTTCAACCAACAGTCGTTTGGCTACGTCAAGATTGCCATCCAAAATTCAAAAAAAGGTCCTTCCGCAAGCTTCACGCACTAGGCCCCTGCTGCATGTGGAAGGAGTCTGCCGCTTCCCACACAACTTCGCCCGACTGCGAAGCAACCAACCGACCAACGCAAAACGTCCAAGATACGACGTAAAGCCCGGAAAGAGCTTTTGGGTTGCCCGACATCCAAAAAGCACAAACAAACCAAAGGGCCTCGGCAACCCAAAGTGCAAGTCCGCTTGAAAGAGGGCACCGAAAAAAGACAATGGATAAGGATCAAATTGGTACGCTCAACAGAAATTGTCTGTTGTTTGAGAGTGCTTGGAAAGGATGCCTAAAACAGCTTGAGGCCTTACACATAGTTGGTCTCCTGGTGGTTCCTTTAAAAAAAAAGCCGTGCCCGAAACCCATTGAGTTTGGTTGCTGCCAAGATCGTAGAGTAACTTCCATGAAATTGGCGGCCCCCCGCCCCAAGAAAACCCGGCCCCCGACCAAAATGGAAGAAACGTCTGAGAAGACATCCGAGGCGCTGCATGTCGAAGAGGGCTACATCACCTCAGCTGTTCACTGCCGGGCTACATTAGCAAGGGAAACAAAACGGAGGCTGTTTACACAAGGGGCGAAGAGAACATGTTGCAAGTCCTCGCACGTTTTGTCCGAAATTTTATTTTAATACCCATGGACAGGTGTCGACCAAATCGAGCAGGAAAATGTGGCACCTGGGAAAGGGAGACAAGTCGCTGACCAATTCCCTTCAGCTCCCTTGGTAGTTTGAACTGGTGGTTTAGCGGTTGGGCCCTTTTACCTCTAAGGCCAGGAGTTGAAATCCAAATCCCAACCAGCTATGAACTGATCTCTTGTGGTCAGCCAAAGGCACACACCCCGAAGGGGACTGTCCCCGAACCTTCACTTCCCTGGATGTTGCATTTGGTTTAAATGGGGCTTTTGGGGTGCGACTCAAATCTATTTCGGCTCTGCCCTCAAACACTAATAATGTATTTGGGTTCTGGTTCAGATTCAATGAACCTTAAAATATACAGTCATTCCCAAAAGATCCCTGAAATGGCCAATAGGACCGAGATTTGATGCTACCATGTCGCTGCAGAACTTTGGATACCAGCTTCGTAACGGCTCCCTTCGAACCACCAGCTATGATTCTGGCAGCCAAATCGTTCGGGGATCGGAGACTCCAGCGGATTTGGGGGGGCGCCCTGACATTCGCCCAAAACGAATTGGGCGTCCGGGCCGTCAATGTGGACCACCACATCCGGAGCATCCTGGATGGTTGCGCTTTGCTGAACCATTTGTTGGGGTGTTATTCCTTTCGTGGAAGCCAAAGGTGCCCTTGAAAAGGGTTAGGTTAAAGGGAAGCCAAAAGGAAAACAAGCATGTGTTTTCTTTGTATTTTTCCTTGGGGAGGGGGTACCCTGGTTTTTGAGACAATGCCATATGGGACATGTCACCCAAAACAGAGCTCCAACATGCCACCTTCTGTATAGATGAACAAAAGTTGAGACCTGGGACTTTCTCCATCTACTAATTTGTGGGTGTTTGTCCAGTATGTTTGGGCACTAATCAAGCAAGGAGCAAGCCAAAAGGAAACCAAATGACAGGATCATGTCTTGATGGCGTACCCCCTGCCCAAAAAGTGCTCAATTATTTGTTAGTTCGTGGTTGCAATCATCATCATTTTCAGCCAACGAGTTTTATACAGATTGAAGATCCATCCCAATAGATCCAGACTTCCAGTGGGTGTCCATGGTCGCAAAAAACTACGGACCAGCACTTTCTTCCAGTCGATCGTAGAGGGAAACCACTCCTCCCTTTGAACAAGCTGGAAAAAGCGCGCGCAACCTACTGAAATTCTTCAAAATACTTTGGGCGCCATGTCCCATTCTTGGACCCCGCCCCCCCCAAAAAAAAAGAGTTGCATCCCCTCAACAAAGGGGAAAAACGGGCCGGGGTTTGCATCCCCCAAAAAATAACTGAAAGTGCCCTCCCCCCCCCCCCCCCCGCGCGGGGGTTTGAGTCCAACCTTTCGAATCGATCGCCGGAGAGGCGCGCCTGGAGCTTCAGGTGGAAGGCCGCCTGCTGCGAGTGGAAGGCCACCGGCAGGCCCATGCCGTCCGGGCGGTGCCGACACACCGAGGCGCTGAAGAAGACCTCGGGAGAGAAAAAGAAAAACGCGGCCCACGTACGGCCCACGTCTGACCCACACGAGAACCCATCCAAAAAAATAGAAAACACAAAGGGCTGGCGGGCGTGGTTTTCTTATACCCCTGGTTGGGATTGGTGCAGGCAAATGGTCCTCGTGTGCCTTTCAACCAGCCCACAAAATAGGGGGAACTCCTTCAAGGTGGGCGGTGTTGTTGCTGGAGTACCCTGTTTGGGGTTGGTACAGGAAATCCAAAACGAACCAAACATCTTGCAGGTGTCTCTGTTTCGAGACAAGTCCATATTTAGCTGGAGGAGACCCCAGATTTGATACAAGTCGATGGTTCCCTAGCTGTTGTTCAATTGTTTATCTAGGTTTATCTAGGGTTAGAACTCATTTCTACCACCATCTTTTGAATCTGGGGTGGCTTGAGCCCATTCAGGATGATAGTAGGAGTTAGGACTCCTTTCTACCACAGTCATTTCAGTCAAGGGCAAAGATGTGGGTGTGTCCTTTTTTAGGGGACCCCCTCCCCCAAAAAACAGAAGAAGAAGAAGAAAAGTGGTCTTCTTTTTGGCGCCCCTTTGAAACCCAACCAAAAGGGGGGATCCCCTAAAAAGAGACGCGCCGACGAGCCACATGTCTCACATGGTCCCAAACCTTGACCCACTTCGCGAGCGCTCAATCAGCTGATAATTAAATAGAGTTTCTCAACACGGCCCCAGAAAAGAAACAAGAAACCAAGGCATGAAGAAAAAAAAAGAGGAAAAATGGCGTGGTTTGGCCATTCAGTTGGTTGGCCTCCCTTGCGTTTTCTTTATCTTAATACCTGTCAGGCACCCTTATCCCGGGGACCCAGGCCCCAGGAGCCCAAATAGTATATACAATCTTGCAGCGTCCACCTATTCTTGCTCAAATATACAAAGAAACCGCCGCCTTTCAGGTCTGCTTCCTTTTGGTGTGTCGGTCCCCGTTCTGAAGTGCTTGGTCGTTGCTTTTCTCCAGGCTCTTCTCGGTTTCCTGGCGCTTCCCTTTTTGTATTCCAATTGTTGGAACCCTTATTTTGGAGAATAGCTGCTCTCAGTTGAACCAGAAGCCAAGCACCAAAGGGCTATGAATTTTGAGAAAGCACAGGGGGGCCCTTCGGTGGACAGAAACTACATAGAGATACGTCTACCAGCTTGGTTTGAGGGTCCACATTCACAATCATGGCAGCGGGTTCTTGTTCCCTGCTTGCAATACCGGAATCGTTTGTTTCGTTCTACTTCCGCGAACAAAGTACGCGGTTGGATCTGTACTTGAATACAGAAACCTCTCAACCAACAGTTTAAGGTACGTAACCAAAAGGCAAGCAACAGAATGGAGTCCTCAACTTTGAGACAATGATGACCCCTGAAATTCGCATTCACGCGGAAACAAAAGCTATCCTTGGACAGCAATCTTGGTTATAGCCGAGCTCAATGAACATACTAGTCACGGTGCTTTCCCCCATACAAGTTAACATGGAACCCAAAAAGGGGTCCCGCAAAAGGAGACTCTTCCAAACAGGGAGGGTTTGTGGGGTTCATGTGAATCTGCAGGGGTGTCTTTATGGGAACCTTAAGCCACAGATGGTGGGCTTTCCTTTCTGGTTTTCCCTTCAAATTCAACCAAGTTCCCAACAAAAAAAACGAGGAGCCACCCATGCAGTTGCCCTGAGCGACCCCAAGCTGGGCCAGGGCGCGCAGGGCTTCTCAGAGAAGGGCGCTGCCAGCTTGGACTCCGCCCCCAAAAGGCCCTCCAGTCCTTGCGTGTGGATCGGATTCGCACCCCGAAAGAGGCAAACACCGCTTTTAAAGGGGAACCCTTGAGAGAATCTTGTTTTTGCGGGTCCCCTGTTTTGACACACACCTGTGTGACCCAACTAGTTCCCCAAGTCGGATCCATGGCCTGGCTCCCTTCGAACTTCCCAGCGGGACGAGGTCCGTGGCGTCTTTGGACCAAAGCTGATGACCCTGCCTTGTGACAAGTGACAAGCGAGCGCCTACAAGCCCCATGTTGTTTTTCCTGGCCGCTTGAAAGCAGGTGTTGGCCAATTCCCAGCCACAATGCGGAAAAAAAAGACCTCTTTTGTAACCCGGGGAGCTTGCAGCAGTATGGGTGTGGCTTGCCCTTGAACAGGCGTCGAATGAGTCCCCTGGGTGTGATTCCGTTGTTGGGGAACCTCCTGGTTTTTCCTCAAGGCAAACAACTGGGAAACCACCCAAGATGGGGCTCCGAATTCCCGTGAATATAGTTTCACTTTCTTTGAGGCATCCCCCAAGATCAGTGGTTTCCCTTTGGTTTTCCTTTGAAACAACTCCAAAAGGACACCGACCCCAAAAAAACAGAGGCGTCGAGCTCACGCCCGGGCGCTGACCAACCTGGGCTCGTCCACTGGCAGCCTGGGATCGCCAGGCCGAAGGAGTTCTGGAGATTGAACTCATTTCTGGAGATAGAGCGATAGATCCGGTCCCGTTTTCTGATAGATTGAACTCATGTTGACCCCCCCTTTTTCCCGATGGGTGTTTAGATGGGCGTTCAAAATCTCCGATCTATGGCAACGTCTGTCCCTACGCTGTACTTCGGTGTTTGCTTCTGACTCACTTTTCCATGGCAGTGTCGGTGATGCAGGAAAATCTCGAGGGGGCAAGGTACTTAGCAGATGGTTCGTAATTTGGCTTTTGACCCGCTTACCACGGCTTTTAAGTGGATTCCCAAGTAGGTTAGAACCATAGTTACTAACCACTTGCTAACTACCCTGCCCCTTCAAAACGGCCAAGGTTCGTCTCGCAGTGTCTTCGAACGTGGGGTAACCCGGTTTCGGGAGATCGCGTGTTGTTTGGCCAAGCCTGGCCACCTTCCCGTCGGTTCAAGCCCCCAAGCCAACCATCCAGTTCAAAACTTCCTTGAGTTGCATACTGGTAAGAGGAATCCAGCGACCCCATAGCCAATCCTTACTCATTTGCTCTCAAGCCAGAAAGTACACTCAATTCAATTATTCTGAGATGGCACCCTGCACTACATATGACAAGCACATAAGCCGGATTCTTCACAGGCGCATCTCGCAGAAGCTTCGTACTTTCCAAGGGACGTGATGCCATCTCAATAGTATCTGGGGGTTGATCAATATGCCGTTCGGCCCCCAAATGACCATGGGTAACTTGTCCCATTTAGTGGTGAAAGTCGTATCTGTGTTGGTGGTTTCCCTAGTGGTCACCCCATGTATCACGGACCTTTTGATCAACCCTGATCAATTCCTCTCGGGTTGTTCTCAATTCTGCTCGAGACTCTTCCTTACTGACCTTCACTTACCTGGGTTTTCTTAGCTAAAGTGCGAACCAACAAAAAGCTCAGAGTTTGTCTTCTACTTAGCTTACCTTAACATGTGAACTATTCTTGTATGCAAAAGACCCCAGTCTTGACCGTGGCTCAGCACAGTTTACCGCCCGCTTTGCCCATGGCCCGCGCGTCTCCAGGTCGCTGCTGAGGGAGACGGGGACTTTCTCCACCTTCCACCCCAGCTTCAAAAACATGATTGAATGGTTGTTTGAATTTGCTTCGTTCTCTCCGGGTGTTTGAGGGGGCTGGTTTGAAGGGGACTTGTTCGAAGGGTAAAGGGGACTTGTTTGAAGGGGAGTTTGAAGGGTGAAGGAGACTTGTTTGAAGGGACTTGTTTGAAGGGGACTTGTTTGAAGGCTTCGTTTTGCCCCACCACACACACACACACGACCCAAAAACAAGACCCGCAATGCAAGAAAACAACAAAACGTGATGCTTCCATCTTAGCCAGGGGAGAGTGACAGCTTGGAATCCTTGACCAGTGGACCAAACAAGAGAAGCCGAAAATAGGATCCAGTCAAGTCGCTTTGCTTGCACGTGAGCAGCGCTCGCAATCCATTGACTTTTGGTTCCACGATGATTCTGAGGTTCCACGGGTGTCTAGAAAGGTTTTTTCTAGGCCTTCCCCTTACCCCCGTGAAACCAGTAGTAGCCGCTAGAACCTACTCGCTGCGGCCTTTCTCTTGGCCCATCTTTCCCGTTTGAATCTCAGGGACCCTACCCACCCAAACATGGGCCCAACCGTGAAGCCCCGCAACAAGGGGCCGCACCCAATTCCAGCTTCTGGGCCTCAGTCAGAAGTAATTAATACTAGGGGGGGCCAAACCAACACCGTCTGGCAAATAGAAATTGGCCACCAATCCCAAGAATGGAAAGCTAGGATTCATGAACTTTACTTTGTGGGCAACCACAAACCTTTTACTAAGTTTTCCCAGATCGATGAGTCCGGTCAAAAGGCAAAACCCCGGGAGCATGTTGGACGGTCAGTCTCAAGTCCCCCTTTCCCAGAAGCCCTCTTCCCACCTCCTGGGTCACGCGATCCCTATCGCGGCGATGGGAAAACAGGACCCCGGCCTCGGTCGCAGGTCCCCTCGTTCGCTTCTGGGACAACGGAGAAATTGGATGCTAGAATTTGGGTTATCCCCATGTCCTCCCTGAAACCAACCCTACCAAGTCAACTCTTCTCCCCTTTGAGAGGGCTCCCCAAATTGTATGGGGTGTTTAGCACATACTTCTTTGAGGATGGCCCTTTGGAGGACCCCGAAAGGCCAAAGGCTTGCTGTTGTACCAAACCCTCCCCGCAAAAGACGAATGCGGCCAAACCCTCACGTCCTCACCGAAATGAGGCCCCCGCTCTGGGTTCAAGTGAGGTAAAAACTGAGAAGGCACGCGCGGCTGAAGAAGGAAGGAAGAGAAACAGGGCAAGCACTCTCATTTCTCGCCCGCGCACGCAAAGACTCAAGCCACACAGGAAAGGAGACGGGAAGAAAACGGCCCAGCAGCATGCAAAGGCACGCATCGCTAAAGAAAAAAATGGGCGGCACGCTGGACAGGCGGCACGCCGGACAGGCGGCGCCTGCGGGTCCAAAGGAACTCGACGCCACAAAAGCAAAGGCAGGGATGCCGCAGAGGAAAAACGGAAGCAGGAATGAAAGAAAGAAACCAGGTAACCCTTCCCCCAAGACAGGCATTTTGGAAAACCCTTCTGGTTGGTATTCAAGGGAAAACAAATGCAAACCAGCCATTTTGGGGCTCCTCTAACTTTGAGACAAAGCCCTCTACCCAACAAGTGGGTGGAAATTCGGGGAACCAAGGCGGTGTGAAGGATGTGAGTCTTTCTCAAACTGGTGGACCCCCGTTTGGGTTGGCATTTCAAATGACCCAAACGAAAACACAACCATTTTCGGGGCCCACGCATCTCCTCTTGTTTTTCTTTTAAAAAAATATGGCGCCCCGCACAAAAAGACCAGGGATCGGATCTCGGGCGCCGCGCCGTGCAGACGCCGGCGCCAATGAGGAGCAGCTGCCATGGCAGCAGACCCCAAGGAGGCGAGTCGACCTGGCAAGGGTCGAGTTAACTCATGCGGCGGATGGCCAAAAATCCACGCCACGCACCAGTTGGGTTTTGAAAAAAGAAGGATTGAAATACTGGGGTAACCCATCTCTACCAACTGGTGCGAAGTTGATTTTGTCCACACAGAGTAGGGTACCCCTACCATGGCTTAATGTAGCTTTATCTTGTATCGCATAGCCCCATATTTCTTGGGGCCCTTGTGTTACTTGCATGACCACCCTACTTTTGTGGTGAATCCCTGGTGAATTGGTCCCGGAAGTGAAAAGTGTAAATCCCGAATGAACTTATGAAGTCACTTACTAACTTGGGTTGTCATCCAAGTAGGGGGGCGCTAATGTTGAGCGCTAAGGCCTTCGGGCCTTGGCCTAGGCTTGCCACCCCTCCCCCCAAGAGCACGCGAGTGCGAGGATCCAATCAGTTTCAGGGCTCGATTCACCTGAGCCGGCGGACATCCTTTCTCTGAGCGCAAGCGTCCGTGCTTCCCATATGAGCCATGGTCAACATATGAGCTTACTCATATGGCCCAGTCCTCCATCCCTGTCAACCCCAAGTGCAGGAACCGGTCTTCGCCACAGACAGCCCCCTGGCACAGCAGGCCAACCCTTCAGCCCACACAGAAATTCGATCGCCCAAGATATGATGTAAGCACTCGAAAAGGGACAGCATCGTGGAACGTATACACTCCCTGGAATTAAACAGGAAGTCCGTGCTCTCAAAGGTGCCTCTAACATAGAAGTCCCTCGACCGTTCTTGTTTTTTCTGGGAAATGCCTGTCTCTTTTTTGCTGGGAATGTAGGACCACCTCCTAACATAGAAGTTACCCAGGGTACCCCTCGCCACGACAATCCCGGGAATTTTTCAGGAACCCTAGATTCTTGAGGGAACCTGTTTCGAGCCTGCACTTCCATGTAAAAGAAAAAACGTGAGTGAAAACGCAAGTCCTAACATAGCACCTGAAAATAGGCCCCACACTTTCATGTAAAGGAGAACACGTGCGCTTAACATGGAAGTGCAGGCTCGTCGTTTGCCCTGTTGTTTTTCGGGTTTTCGGGGGTCAGTAGGGAAATTGCAGTTTGCTACCAGTCGTTCGTCGTACCTAGATGGGGTTCTGGGCCAGTTCTGGAAGGGGCGTGGGGGGGGGAGTTCGGTTTGTGTTGGGGGGGGGGGGGTGGTAGGTTATTGGGGGGTTTCAGGGAGCCGGTGCACGAATCATCGTCGGAAGTCAGCTTCGTATTCTGAAATGCGGAAGGCGACAAAAAGCACCCCCGGCATTTCTAGGTTAGGATTATCCAAAACATTGGGTTTTTTTTGACTAACCTGCAAAAAAAAAGCTTCGGAGCTTCCTGTTTAATTCCAGGGAGTGTACCCCTTCTAGAATCAGAGTGGTTCTATCCCTTTGCCCCAGGGTTTGGCAATAAGTTTGGCATACCTCGAATACCACTTGTTCAGGGTGGGAGGGGGCATGTATGTTCGAACTGAGCTAATATCAAGAGAGCACCCCGGCTGCCGGGCCTGTCTCGGAGCCTTCTCGGTTTTGCTTTCAATCTTCAAAGGGACCCCAGACCTGCGGTGGCCAAGGGAAACCACAAGGAGAATCCGGTCCGACTCCTAAAACAAGACACCCTGGTGTAGATGTCAAAGGGAAACTCCCAAACTCCGAGATTTCCTACGTCCCATCGAAAACGCGCCCAGAGCCTTGCCATCGCGCGGTGCGGCCACAGAAAGGGGCCCGGCCGGCCCCACGGCCTAGGGAACTGGTGCCAACGAGGGAGCGGGGAGCTTCGGGGATGCCGAATGTGAACGAAACCGTGTCGAACAAATACCCGAGAAAAAAGAAGAAGGAAAAAAAAACGAGTAAAATAATATGGCCACAATATCTGCTTCCCTTCGCGTCCCTGCTTGATTGTTTGTCGGAATTGAACGTGAAAGTTCAGATGTCCCAAAGGTGTGTGATGCTGTGCCAACAAAAGGCTCCTGTGCACCTTGCCTGACACCCCACTGGAGTGGTTCATATCCCTGCTCAACAGGCCTGACCGGGTTGGATGTAGGATAAATCCCGTGTAGCCAGTGTAGCCACTGTGGTCAGTGGCGGATCTCTCCAGTCAGCTTCCAACCAAGGCGCCATGAAATTGGGGGCCATAAGTTTGACACGTTCGGGGGTCTGAGTGAGAAATACTGGCATAATGCTGGGTTTCCCAAGTGACTTTGCAGGGTTGGCTCCCTTTAAACGACCATTTAGCTGGATGTGCTTGAGGTCATTATGTTGACTGTTTCTGCGGGTTGTCAGGGTCACAAACCAGGTGTACCAGCTGGAGGGTCACTTTGATGATAGGAAAGACTAGCTGGGCCTCTGGGGGCATGCTGCTTGTACCCCCAGCCTGCTTTCGTTGGTTGCCCATAAACCAAAAGACAACATGGAGGTCCAAAAACTGGCTGGAGGGTCCCCACGGCACTGAAAGGAATATTTCACAGGAAGCCGGTTCATCCAGTTGCAATCAGAGACCCATTCGGTCAAAAAAACATCTCAACCAATGCTTTTTTGGGACTCGATTGCATTTTGCGCGCAACTCTCACTTGGATCAGGGAACTGAGGGAGAGTCTCCAAATTGGTGCGTCTCGAAAAGTGTTAAATGAGGGACCCCCCCCCCCCCCCACAAAACAAAAAGAAGTGCTTTATCAAACCACCCCGAACAAGCTGGACCCCCTTTGGCTCAGGCCAGAAGGCGAGCCAGCATTCTGAGGGTCCACCATAGTACACGCCCGTATGGGTTTCAACCCATGTGAAACCATTGGTTTCCTTTTGTAGAGCCCAAATTCCTTACAACCTCTCGTTGCCATGGCACCTGACAGAAGGTCCCTGGAAGACCTTCCATTCCCGTGCGACCTTGTTTTGGACACTAATGAACACAACCAATAAACCAACATGCCAACAGTGAAGTGGCTTCCCCTCCAGAAGTGATGAATCCCCACTCAAACCCAGGGATCCCCCCATATTCATAAAACTGGGGTTGCTCAACATCATCCCCCCAAAGCCCCAAAGCCCCAAAGCCGCGAAGAGCCCCAAAGCTCTCGCCTCGGTCACGACATCTGCGGTCTCCGGCGTCGCAGGCCGTCTGTCCTGTCGGCCGGGCATCCCCGAAACTCGGGCTGGGTCAGAGAAATGCCAGGCAGAGATGTGGCAGGGAAAGCCATGGCAAGTGAGTCACTTGCTCAAAACCCGGTATTAAAATGGTTGACCCAGAACCATGTAAGGAAATACAAAGGCCCTCAGCAATTCTTAGCTGGGATTGTCCCTTACTAACCTTCATCCACCCGGGTTTTGATTGTGGCTCAAGTGGGTTATCACAATGCGTACTAACCACTTACCAAGTACACTGCTCCTTTTTTGGTAGGGTGTCTGGACCTTCCCAATGACAATATGATTCCGTACGAGAGCAACAGTTGCCCCGGGTATCAAAGAAATGAGTCGGAGGAAAAACTCAGCCACCCACAGAAGATACAAACAAACTGGGACGGTGAAAATGTTCGCCCACGACTCTTATATTGGGTTGTCAAACCATCCCCAATGAGTTCTAAACGAAGTACGGGTTTGTCTAACAGTGCGGCTTCTCCCCTTCCAAAACAAACGACAAAGAAAGTTGGCTTCCCTTTGGAGGCTGTCTTTAAAAAAAAATGAGGAAAAGGTGTGCCCTCAAAAGCCACGCCAATATACGAACCCGTCACAACTATATACGTATTCATAATTATCCCCCCGTGTATACACCCCTCGCCTTTCTAACGCCAATATACGAACGACTCATACACATATTATTTATGTATGAAATATATATATATATATATATGTGTATTATGTGTGTGTATATATATATATATATATGTATTATGTGTGTGTATATATATGGTAACCCCCCCCTCCCAAAACCCAGGTTTTGGGAGAAAACACTGTAAATACCAGTGTTTTCTCACAAAAAACTGCATCTGCCAGAGCACACACTTTTCAGGCCCACTTTCTCCATCTGTCTCATTTGGCAGCCAATGCTGCAGCCAAGCACTATGATTGCGTAAGGGCATCTCTTCAAGGAAGCTCTCTGGAAACTGAAAAACTGAAAAAACTGAAGAAAAAAAATCGGAAAAACTGAAAAAAACTGAAAAAACTGAAAAAACTGAAAAAACTGAAAAAACTGAAAATCAGGGGAACATGGGGGCTGCCCCCCCCCCAGGCATGTCCCCCTGAATCCTTGGTTTTTCAGTTTTTTCAGTTTTTTCAGTTTTTTCAGTTTTTTCAGTTTTTTCAGTTTTTTCAGTGTTCTCCTAGCATTCAGCTTTATTATTCCCCTAGTCTTGTCTGAGCAACCAGGCACTATGATTGCGTAAGGGCATCTCTTCAAGGAAGCTCTGAAAAAACTGAAAAACCAAGGATTCAGGGGAACATGGGGGCTGCCCCCCCCCCAGGCATGTCCCCCTGAATCCTTGGTTTTCATTTGTTTCAGTGTTTTCAGTTTTTTCAGTGTTCTCCTAGTATTCACCTTATTACTCACCTAGTATTTTCTGAGTATTCCCCTAGTATTGCCCTAGTATTCCCTTAGAATTATCTTGGTATGCACCTCGTATTTCCTTGTTCGGGAAGGGGAATACTAGGGGAATACCTTTAGTATTGCCCGTGTATTCCTTAAATATTCTCTTGGTATACCCCTAGTATTCCCTCCGAATTCCCCTAGTATTCTCCTAGTGTTCACCTTCAATATTATTGCCCTGAGTATGTCCTTAGTATTGCCCTATGAATGCCCTAGTATTCCCCTATTATTGCCCTAGTATTCAGTTAATTTAGTAGTCTCTTCGTATACCCCTAGTATTTCCTCACTACCCCATAGTATTCCCTTGCTATTTCCCCTAGGGAATTACTAGGGCAATACCTTTAGTATCCTCTTGGTACCCCTAGTATTCTCTCAGTATTCTCCTAGAATTCTTCCAGTATTCACCTTTAGTATTCCCCTAGTACTTCCCTAGTACTTCCCTAGTAGTGCCCTAGTATTGCCCTAGTCAGGAAGCCTCAGAAAAGTCAGACATATTGAGCTTGAGAGTATACCCCTACTATTCCCTCAGTATTCACTAGTATTCTCCTTTAGTATTCCCCTAGTATTCCCTACTTAGTATTGCCCTAGTATTGCCCTAGTATTGCCCTAGTATTGTCCTAATATATATATATATATAAATTTAAATATTACCTTGGTATACTTCTAGTACCCCCTCAGTATTCCCAAGTATTCTCCTAGTATTCACCTTTAATATGGCCCTAGTATTCCCTGAGTATGTACCTAGTATTGCCCTAGTATTCCCCTAGTATTGCCCTAGTATTCCTTTAGTATTCTCTTGGTATACCCCCAGTGTTTCCTCACCACCCCCCTAGTGTTCCCCAAATAGTTCACTAGCAAAGGAAGGGAATACTAGGGGAATATCTTCAGTATTATCTAACTAACTAGGCAGCTAAATAGATAACTAACTGATTAGCCAATTAACTAGATAACTGGGTTTAGAGCTAATTCATTACAACTAGTTAACTGACTATTTAGTTGACTTGCTGACTGTTTTTTGACTAACTAATTGAACTTGCCAAATTGTACTGCTTGAACTTGCAAAATATGCGTTTCGCAGAGGCGGAAATACACATGTTTCTCAAAAGTAGCATTTTTCCAGTGATTTTGGCAATTGTCCAGGTTCAAAACCTGGGTTTTGGGAGGGGGGGGTAGCACATATATATATATATATGTATGTTCCAGGCCGTGAACCCCCTCCCCCCCGAGGGGGGGGGGGGTGGGTGATTGGGGTGTGGTTTGGTGTTGGTTCAAGGTTAGTTGGGGTTGGTGCAGGGTTGGTTTAGGGTAAGTTTAGGGCGGGTTTGGGTTCGCTTAGGATGGTTCAGGGGAGATTTAGGGTGAGGGTTAGGGTCAGGGGTTCAGGGTTGGTTTAGGTAGGATGTTGGTTTGGGGTTGGCTTCGTGGGTGCGGAGGTGTTGGGGTGCGGGTTCAGGGGGTGAAGGCAGTACTGGATAACATCCCCAGCATCCCCAGCATCATCCCATTGATGCAGATTGGTGGCCTGGGGACTGGAACATATGCGAAGGCTTTCTGACGCCCACCCTTCTGCAAATCGGTGCCTGAGACACGAACTTCGGCGGCACCGGCGCCGCCATAGGCAGCACCTGGCGTAGAGGAGGGTTGTCGCCAAAATGAGTTTGCCCACTTGACTTCGAATTGCTGGTTTTTCCTAGGGCTGGCTTTCTGCAGGGCTGGCAATATCCCCCAGCATCATCTTGGGAAGTTGGGCGTTGCTGGGGTTAGCTTGCGGGTATAGGCTGGCTTGAGAGCTAATAGGCAACCCGGGCCAAGTGAGGCTGGTGATGCCGGGGATGCGGCAACCAACCAACCATCCAACCAACCATCCAACCATCCAACCATCCAACCATCCAACCATCCAACCATCCAACCATCCAACTATCCAACCATCCAACCATCCGACCATCCAACCATCCAACCATCCAACCATCCAACCATCCAACTATACAACCATACAACCATCCAACCAACCATCCAACCATCCAACCATCCAACCATCCAACCAACCAACCACCCAACCAGCCATCCAACCAACCAACCACTTCACCAACCCAGCCCGAGAAAAGCAACCAAAAAACCCTAGGAGAACAAACACGGATCCTCCAAACGGCATCCGATGAAAAATCGCACACATTGCGGGGGTGCTCCCTCCAAGGTCGTCCAACCACCTTTTGTAGGTTGACTCAAAAAGCCATTTGTTTGCGCGACTCGGTCAGTCTCCCTTTGCCTTGGGTCAACAAGGCCTCCCCACTTTGAACAACTTGCTGCGATAGGTAGGGAATGAGGTAATTCATATGGGGATTCCCTCAAAGGAAACCATAGGGGATGGTTCATAGGGGTCATTCCCTCATCCCTGCGGAGCGCCAGCAAAACAAGCCTCTTCAAAACCTTCAAACGTTCCTCTCCCCTTGTCCCCTCCATCCCCCCCGCCCGCCCTTAGCTCGCCTCGGTGAGGAACTCGTCGGCATCTTCTTGAAGAAATGACAGGGGCCTCTCCTGCGCGGGCTTCCCCACCCACCCACACCAGTGCCAGGCCGTCTCCGTCTTTGGGGAAGGGGGGGCAAACCAACCACTGAGCTGGTCATCGATGTGCTTTTTCTTTCCAGGTTCCAACGAGTTTTTGCCAACCTCAAGACATCACCCCTGTGCCAAGGAAACTCACCACGGGAAATGCCCAGAAGGGGATGCTTCAAAAACCACCAAAGACGAAGTGTATTGGAACCGCTGCAAAAGCAGTCTTGGGCGATTCAGCCCACTGATCAAACAGTATCGTGACAATCTCCTTGGAGCTTCCCTCTCAAAACACACATTGCGCGAACCCTCCCTTGCTTCCTGTTTAAAGGCAAATTTGGATACTCCCAGCTCCTTGGCTCCGTTCCAACCACCAGCTCGCTTTTGAACGCAGTGCAAACCACTCGCCCACTCGCCAGATGCGCGTCTGGGGGACCCGACTCATCTGTTTTGAATGAAATCACAGCTTCGAAGTCTCGAATCCCATCCGGGGCCATGTGAGTCAATCAAAATCCGGTATTAAAATGGTTGACCCATGCATGAGACACGGACCCCGCTTTTGAGCGTTTGAACATGAGGTGAGGGCTGCGAATACTGTAGACCCTTTCAATGCCCAAAGGAAAAAGGGCGCAGAGCTCTAACAACCCAGAACCATGTAAAGAATTAAGAAGGCGGCCGCAGCTATTTATGGTTGACATTGTCCCTTGCTAACCTTCCTCTACCCGGGCTTTGATTCTGGCTCATGTTGTCTTTTGGGTTCGTCTGCAAACAAAACCTGCAAACTTGGCCCCTTCCCCCGAAACGAACCACGCATATGACTCATATGACCCAAAAAGGCTGGCCGGCTGGCCCAGAAAAATGGGTTTCATGGAAACACCAGGCCAAAGGGATCCCAGAATGCTGAGTCCCTGGTCCCTTGAGCGGGTAGGGACTGGGGATATGAACCACTTGATGATTATGTCCATAGGTAGGAATCACTAGGGATCCGGGTTCCAAGGGGTTGCTCCATCAAAACCAGCCGGTTCTACTGCCGAGGTTCGCACTGTCAGGATGGCTTCTTATCAAAAACTTAAAATGTCCAGGAATTTGGGGCAATTTCTACCCGGACATCAAGGCATCGCCAAACAAAACACGCGAATCAAAAGGGCTCGCCGAAAACTTGCAGGTGATGCTTGAAGATTGCCTGGCGCGGGAAACGCTGGTTTCCCATAACGGGCGACCCGCCTTTTGCATTGCGTTTCCTCAGTTGGAAGTGGTGGTCCACCAGTGCACACCAATCAGGATTCAAATGGCGGGGGTGTCTTTTTCTGATATCCTTTTGTGGGTTTAAAATGGTTTCAACAGGGGAAGCGAAGTCAAATGACACATTTGAGCAGGGATCCTTACATGATACACCTGAACATTGCCTTGTCAATGGTGGTTTCCCCTTGTTTTGGTGGAAAAAGCAACATGTGTCCAACGCAAAAGCAAAATGGAGAGGAGCCCATTTGGAGGGTACCCAACCTGGGCTTCTGAGCCAAACCCAACTTGGGCTGCTTCACGCTTCGCCTGGCTCGTGTGCACCTTGGGCTTCAATGAGGCGCGCGCCTGGCGAAAATCGAGCCTGGGTGACCTTTTAGGAAAAGCAGATGGCCCTGGGAAATGGCGCAAAACCCAACTAAACCTGTGGAACCCACCTATTTATGGCGTAAAACCCAGCTAAGCCTGTGGAACCCACCTATTTCCAGCCCTGACCTATATAAAAAAGGACGCCTACGATCCCAAACGGTTCACCTGACTCATCCCGGAATCCATGTTTCTTTTCTGGGGGTAGGTTCAATCCCGAAAAAGTTCAGAAAGTCCAAACTTGTTCATTCCCACCCTGAACCTGCAATTGAACATCCGTGCCAGGGTGGTTGCCAGTATGCCGCAAACACAAGCAGCCGGTCCCCCCCGGGTAGCCTTCAGAAGGCCACTGTGCACAGCATCCATCAGTTGGGATCAGCTGGGATTCCGATTTGAATGTTGGTTGGCAAACCAGCAACTCCAACTGGCGCCGATCACCGTGAGTTCTCTCCACGTGTTTGAAGAGACGCCCTGGTGCCGTGTTCGTGGGAGAGGAAGTCATATGCACAAGCAGCGCTGCAAAACCCCTAAACCCCCGCACTGCGCTGCCAAGTGGGCCAGTCCCATCCATGTTCGGATCGGTTTGTTGAGGTAACGCCAAGCATCGACGTTCTTTGCCTCGGCAAGGCGGATTAAGGGTACTATTTGGGCCGAAGTAGTGATGGGTGAGCTACTTGCTCCCTGGGAGCAACATTTGACGGGCAAAAAAGCATAGCCCTCATATGGCTGTGGGTCAAAACCACTGGTACCATTTTGGGGTGGGTGCACCACTTATTTTACTCTATTTTACTGGGGATTGGGATGTTCAGTGGGGATGCGGGTTTTTGACCCATGGCCATATGTCCGAGCCAACAAAAGAGAGCACCCTCATGCTTCCAAGCCCGGTTCCGGACCAAGAAAACCATGGCCCAGGCGCCGAGAACCCCAACCCGAGCTCGAGGGCGCAACCTGCAGCAAGACCGGCGCGCGGCTCAGGGGCCGGACCTGGGAGCCATTGTCGCTCTACGTGGGCCTCACATGCGCCTGTGATGACTCAACATAGCGGGGGCTGCAAGGTTTGTCATCTCCTTAATGACGAGGGAAGTTGCTTTGAAAGTCCCACGCAAAGCCATTCTGATTGTTTGATGGGCCTTCTGAGAAGCAACAAACTGCCTGCTCTTTCCCCCGGCCAAAAACTGAACAGTACCGAAACAAGAAGCGGCTAAACCATAGGCACACACGTGCCAAGAACAGTGCAGGGAAGTTCTGAAAACAGATCATGCGGACCCTGCTACCGAAATGCCTTCGTTGCTCAATTGCGGACCCCGTTTCTGTCAACTTCGGGCCAGTCACCAACGCCTGGGCCGGCGGCGGAAGTCAACCCAGCGGCGCTCACCACCGTCTGCTCCTTGGCCTTCAAAGCCACAGACCCGGACCTCGCGGCTTTGCGCGGGGACCAGACGACTCAGAGCTCCCGGTGCTTGAAACCCATGCGGCCCAACATGGCCCAACGGGCCAAAAGCCGATGCTTCAGGGGAAATACAGGGAACCCCCGTTGCCCATGGGGCGTTCATTCCGAGTTGGAGTGCTAGCAGGAATCAAGTACTCCCTTCTCTGGATACCAGAGAGATATGCACAGAGCAGACGAAACCAAAGGAAACCGTCTGGGGTGCTGAAAGGAAAGCAGAGGACACCGTTCCTCTACAAGGCACCGTCTTCTGCACAGACGGTGGAACGATCGTAGAGGCTTCACAAACACAGCAAAGGCCGCACGGAGCTCTCACAGGTGTTCAACCATGGGTGTTGGGGTTTGGCAACTGGAAAGGGCTTTAATATCCATGTATCAAGGTTCCAACTATTTGCATGTCCAAGACGAACTTGGCCTTTCCAAAATGGATGACTTGAAAAATCATATCCCAAGGCTATTTTGCATGCAGACCA